ACAGAGATAGAGAGACAGACAGAGAGAGAGAGACAGAGAGAGAGAGAGAGAGAGAGAGAGAGAGAGAGAGAGAGAGAGAGAGAGAGAGAGAGAGCGTGTGTGCTTGTAAGCTGGGGCTGGGCAGCATCGCCATGGCATGTGTGCAAAGCACGGCGTGACTGCTCACCTGGTCTGACAGAGACGATGACCGGCTTGTCGAGCCCCGTCTGCTTGGGAGGGCCGGGGAGGGGGGTGAGGTGTAAATGTGTGTGCGTTCGCAAGTGAGTGAATGAGTGAGTGTGTGTGTGTAAGAACGTGAAGGCTTGTTCAAACACATGCGTGAGAAGTTGCGCATATCCACAGAAGCGCAGCGTGCGTGAAGATGCAACGCGTGGCTTTATGGCATGTCTGCGTTCGTACCGTTGTCGCCCAAGCAGGGGAACGCGGGGAGCCATGACTTTCCCTGTGCACCAAAAAAACAAAAAACAAAAACAAAAAAAACAAAAAACAAAAAAAAAAGAACAGCGGCAATGTTGCTCGCGTGGTCAGCACCATGACATACAATGCAACAGAACAAGAACAAGAACAAGAACAAGAACAAGAACAAGAACAAGAACAAGAACAAGAACAAGACGACTTACGCGTCGGAGGTGCTGGCCCAGTGGGTTTGGGCGGTGCTGCAGTCCGTGTCGCTGCCGAGGAAGGCGTGGTTGATGCCGCTGTTGCGACTGGGGGCGACTTGTCTGTTGCTGCACTGGTGGGGCGTGTTGGCGCTCTTGGTGCTGGCCGGGCGGTCGAGGGCTTGAGCCTGTCGACACAGAAATGAGAAGAGTAACGTGAAAACTAAAGGTGAGGGGCGTGAGATGAGGTCGACGTATGGCGCGAAAAAGAGGAGGGCGAGGAACAAGAAGAAGAGGGAGAAGGGGGCAACTCAACAGCACACGAAAAGACCGCAAACCGAAATAGCACACGGGTGCATCCTCTATACACCAGCAGCTGAATTGAGCAAACGATCAAGCACGCAAGCACATCAGCAGCGGTTCGTACATGACTTTTCGTGCTTGCGGTTGGAGGAAAGGTTTTGGTCCGGGCCCAGTGGTGCGGTGCTTCTGTTCATGGTGTGTGCGTGTATGATGCAGCAGACAGCGCACACAAGCAAGGCAATCAAGACAACCGAGGCAGCCAAAACCACAGAAGGACGCAAATACAGGGTCAGCGTGCATCGAGAGAGGGTACCAAACAGGCAGATGGGTGGATGCATGTGGAACAGGAGTTGCACACGCCGACGCCACACCTTTCCAAAGCTGCGGGAAGCGACGGGGACTGTTGCATCGGTCCCCGATGCGGTTTTGGCACTGCAACAGCGACGCACAACAACGGTAAGCGAAGGTGGACACAGTTCATGTGCAAAACGTCACGAGAATGCCACAACTGTAGGAGTGATAAGACAAGACGGAAGCACCAAAACACACAAGAAAACAAGAAAAAAAACGTCGATGCACTGCAAACACACACACACACACACACACACACACACACACACACACACACACACACAGACACATACCGCGATGGGCCGGGCTCTTCCTTGAGAATAAATTTCCCGCTGGCGCGCATCTGTGCCTCCGACAAGTGCTGTGCTGTTCCCTCTGTCTTCACGCGCGCCACCTTTGCCTGCGGCTCTGCGTCGTGCGAGGGTCTTCGTTTCGCCGTCGCAGTCTTCACGGCAGTCTTGGCAGCGGTGGCCGCAGCAGCGCCCGCCGCCACTCCTGTCGATGGGCGTGCCGATTGCGGCTGCTGTGCTGTGCTCGTGGTGGGAGAAGGCTTGGCAGCGGACTTGGCACCGGTTTGCGTGACAATGGTCTTCCACTTGGTCACCAACGCTTTCGCTTTCGCGCTCACCTCTGCATTTCAGAACGGGCACCCACGTTTCACCGCAGCAGAACCGCCAGCAGGGTGGCACCACAGCAACGCACATTCACAGAGGAGGCAGGGCGTGAACGAACACGGCTGCAAATCATGCACATCGTGGGGCACAAAGAGTGGTCTTCCCCACCCTGTGTTTATTGTTCCTCGACACATGGGAACAAACAGGGTTTCGGTTGAGGTGGTTGCAGCATGTGCGAGCAGGACAAAGCAAGCAAGTATCAACTCGCACAGTCCTCCCACGCGCATGTGCATGCTTTGTGATGTTGGTGTCAAGGGTGTCGGTGTGCTTCGAACCGGGTATTTTGCGGCACTGCTTGACGGTGCGGGCGAGCTCGTTCTGTGTGAGGAGATCCAGTGTCACGGGAAGAACCTGTAGCGTCTGTTTGGTGGAAGTGGTAGGGGGGGGGGAGGGAGAGGTTGAGAAGCGGAGGTGAGTACACGTGAAAGCAAGAGCTCGGTTGGAAACCTAAGGAGACTGCGCGTCGGCACACAACATCACACAATACAGTCAAGACAGTCAGACACACACAGACACAGACACAGACACGCACAGACAGACACGCACATGCACGCACACACAGACACACGCGTAAACACACAGGCAAACACAGACACAGACACATACACTCACTTCCATAAGCGCGGTGAGGACGGCAGTTTGGTTTGTTTGTCTCGCTCGGGTCAGCCAATCGAACAGCGTTTGCCATGCCCCAGCATGCAAGCACCTGCAAATTATGCAAGTCAGCCATCCCGGTGCAGAGGCAGGTCAGCGAGTCAGCCGGTATGCACGTGAATCCACAAGCAGGCAAGCAAGGGTGCTAGCGTGCGCATGGCCAGGCGAAAGACGCAACGGGTCTGCATTACGAAGCAGTGGCATACTTGGAGACGATGGGCTGGCCAGGGCCTTTCGACAGGTGCGCAAGCATCTTGAGTGCAAGCGATCGTTCCGCAACTTCTCTGCATTTGTTCAACAGCCTGCAAAGCCACACAAGAACGCCGGGCGAAAGGCAAGGCAAGAGCAGCGTCAGGAACGGCAAGCAAACACGAGAGCATTGGAACACGGGCCACGCCCGACACACTGGTTGTACATCTTCGATTGCACGCGCATCAGCAGGGAAGGGGTTGCGTACTCGAGCAGCTCCTTGGATCGTGCGGCGTTCTCGGTGTCGGTGGTTGCACTGATGTCTTTGTTGTCCTTGAACCACGTCATCAGGGACGTCATGGTCGGCGTTCTTGGCGCGGCCATGGTGAGTTGCGGTCTGTGGTTGGTGCTGTGATCAGTGGTGGTGGTTGTGTCGTTGTGGTTGGTCAGCGGTGTTCGGAGGCGGTTGTGACGGCAATCGTTGTGGTTGGTGCCGTGATTGCTGTGATCAGTGATGGTGGCGCTGACTGTCGACACGCTGTTGTTGTTGTTGTTCGGAGGTGGGGTGCCGCCGGTGTGCGCACGGTGGCTTTTCGTCGTGCTTATCGTGTGGCTCTCTTGCTTGGTTGGTGGGTTTTGCTTTGGCACACTTTGCTGCACATGCACAAGTAAGAGAGGTCTGCTGAACCTGTTGAACTTGGGCTCTACCGTCGGTTGCAACGCCACTTGTGTGTGAGACAGGCAAGAGCACGGGCTCAACACAGTGCGAGCACAAGGCGTGGCTGTTTGCTGCTTGCAGGGAGCGGCCGGATGACTTGACACGTGATTTCGTTCGACCGCAGTAGCAGCAACAACAATGGAGCTAGCTGAAAGCGACAACAGCAACGAATGGCGTGACGACCGCACAACAAACAAACACCAGCACAGAAGATGGAACAAACAGGCCGTGTTCTTGGCCTTGTCTTCTTCTTGTGCTTTGCTTCTTCGAAGGGTGAACGCGTGGTGGGGGTCTTATTGGTCTCTGCTTGCTTCCCTGCTTCTGATGCGTTTGTGTGCTTGCTTGTGTTTGTGAGAGTGCTTGCGATTTCCCGCCAACCTCGCTGACTCCGCCTTGCTTGCCCCCTGTGTTGCCTTGCTTGGTTGGTTGAGCTTGCTGTTGGTGGACGGCGTCAGATAGGGAGAATTGCCACCAGGGCAAGCTACACGCGCCCAGAAACGCGGGTTTTTTGTTGGTGCTTGCGATTGCGTTGGCTTGAGGAAAAGTTGGTGTATCTTTCATGAAAAATCCACAACAGAGGAGAAATGGGAAAGGATGAGTGTGTGTGTGTGTCCCTTCCCTTTGCCCTCACACACACACACACACACACACACACACGTGTGTACGCCTCGTTGCTTGTTGAAAAGTGATTCATGATGGAACAAAAGAATGTAACTCTCTCCCCTCACCCTCCCTTGTCTCACTAACGCTTGCTCTTACGTGCGTCGTCAACGGACCTCAACGCAACATAACACCACAGAAATTGTGCGGGAAGAAACATCACAAACTCAGACACTCACAGACAGACAAACAGACACAGACATGCAGACACGCACATGGCAACAACGAAAAGGCACGAAGCAAGTGGCAGCCGCAGTGTTGTAAACAAAACACAGCTCCACAAACACAAGCACGGGTGCATGCACAGAGCACAAGCACAGGTGCACAGGAGACAACAATCATTGACCGAGTTGGAGCTCAGTAGCGAATCTCGTACGAGCCGCTCTTGGAGATGTACCGCACCCATTTCAGCACAGAGCCATCGTCATACCTGCGCAGTGGCACGGGTAGTGTCGCGGGACATACATGAGAAGCAGGATATCCATGTTAATGGCCACGCGATCACGGAGGTGTGAGCAAGCGGAACAAGGCTGCTAATGAAGCAGTTGAACACAAGCAACACACAGTGCAGCACAACGTAATCACAGACAAATAGATAGACAGACAGACAGACAGACAGGCAGGAGGACACAGACACATTCCCAGACACAGACACATTCCCAGACACAGACACATTCCCAGACACAGACACAGACACATTCCCAGACACAGACACATACACAGACGCACACACACACACACACACACACACACACACACACACACACACACACACACACACACACACACACACAACGCGCACCCCAGCTTCCGTTCCAGGATCTTGAGATACTTGACCTCCAATCCAGAGCACGCAAACGGAACCTGACGAAAGAACACGACACGGTGGCGGTGATTTGCTCATGAGCACGAGAAAAACCAAAGCGACAGCACGGTCGGGCGCCAACTCATAGGCACAACAAAACGACAACAACAACAAAACAGCCAGCTATCAACAGAGTGCAAGTCACAGAACACACAGACAGACACACGGAACACACACAGACACACACAGAGCAAACACACCTCAAAGTTGACAGAGATTGGGGTGCGTGTCCATTTCTTTGTGGACTGGAGGAGATCGAGCTCGGCGTTAAGCTGTGCGCTGCGCCCGCCATTGATGCGCTTGATCCTGCATGGGGTTCATGGTGACGCGATACCACAACACACACACACACAGTGCACGATGCCAGCAATGAATGAACACACACGCACACAGTGTACACAAACACACGCACACGAATCAAGCACAGCAAAACAGCACACACACACACACACGCACACACACCCAACACACTTACTTCCAGACGATTGCGTTTTCGCCCGGCTTGTACTTTGCCTTGCCCTTGTCGGAGCGTGCGTGCACCTTGGAGGTGATGCTGGGCACGGGAACGCGCACCTCAATCCGCTGACCAAGCAGTGCGGGGTCAAACTCGGCCTTGAGGGTGACGTTGATGGACACCTTGTTGCCGCTCTCGTGCACAAGTGGGGTGATCTTGAAGGGCAGCTTGATGTTTTGTGTCGTGCGGTACTTCATCAGCTCAAACTCGCCATCGGGCGGGATGAACGAGATGGACCGGTCTGTGTCAAACTTGCCCAGTCGCACGCACTGGTGGAACGTGAGGTCGTCAATGGCAATTGGCGCTGCCCGCTGCTGCTGCTGCTTCTTCTTCTTCTTCTTTCCCGCCGCCTCCAGCGGGTTCGGCGGGCGAGCGTCCTTCATCACAATCTTGTCGTTGATCCCAAACTTGCAGTCGGGCATGCCAGACAGGTAGCACTTGACGCGCACAGACCCGTTCACGTACGCGTTCAACGGGCCTACGAGGCGAGTGAGTGAGTGAATGAGTCAGTGAGTTGAGTGAGGCGAGTGAGTGAGTGAATGAGTCAGTGAGTAGAGTGAGTGAGGGAGAGTGGGAAACACGGAATGTGCAAATTGTTGTATGCGTGTAGCAGTACGTCAAATCCGCCATCCCCACGACAAGCATGCTAATCCCAACACATACACCCCCCCCCCAACCACCGCCCGCGCGTACCGAGGGGCCCCATGAGGAGACTGACAGACTCGAGGACATCGATGAAGAGCTCGTGCTTGCGGTACTTGATGGCCTCTCGCCGCCAGCCAATCTGGCCCGTCACCTGCGACGTGATCTTCGCCTGCTCCTCCATCGGCTGCACAACAACAACAACAGCAGCAGTAGCAACAACAACAACAACAACAACAACAGCGACGGCAGCGACGGCAGTTGGAAGAGGTGGGAGGGAGCGCGAGCAGTGGACAACAGTAGGGAGGTGTGGGTGAAGATAGATGCGTGAACGGACCGTTGATGAATGTGTGCGCAAGGCTATCAAAACACCAAAACATTCACACACATTCTCATGGGCACACTCACATTCACACTCATACATGCATTCGCACACGCATTGATTGGCAGATTGGTGTCATTAACACGAGAAAAGGAAGCACAGGTGATGGTACAATGCATTCACGTCCATGCTGTTGCGTTTATTGGCCACTGCACCTTCTCTGCGGCGTTGAAGCCCTCCTGTGTGATGAGAAGCTTGAGCACGTTCGGGTCTGTGCTCTGGGGATACCCGTAGTCAATCACCTCTGTCAGCGTTGGAGTTGGTGTCGCAGATGAAGCGGTGGTGGTGGTGGTGTTGAGGCGGTGTGAGGGGATGAGGAAGCAGCGCGTTGGCGTGAGTTGAGGTGAAGGGAGCAAAGTGTGCAGCGAGTGGGAACGAAAGGGCGTTGGATTGGGGGTGGGCACCAGCTGCCGTACGCACCATCAAGGAGTTCGTAGATGAGGGAGAAGTTGTTCTTCACGTTGAGCTCGTTGAACTGAGCAACGTGCAGCAGGACAGCTTCAGCATGAGGAAGAAAGCACTGTGGGCACGCGGCCACCAAACATCATCGAACAAGTACGACATGACAAGAAACCTGTATACACATGCACAGAAACTCCAGCACTCGCATGTACGACACACACGCACACGCACATGTACACATGCACATGTACACACACACACACACACACACACACGCACGCACACACACTTACACACACGCGCACGCACACACACACACACTTACACACACGCGCGCGCACACACACACACACACACACGCACCTGGCCAAAGTAGGAGGATGTGAGCTCAATGAACTTTGCCATGTACTCAAACACCATTGCGGCGTTGGCGTTCTGCAAACATCCAGGTGCACAATGAAGAAAAAGGCCCCGTTAGCAGTGGCAGAGCGAACAAGTGGGTGGTGTAATCATGTGTGTGTAGTTATTGTTGATGGCGTGTACAGATGGTCACATTCTTGATGATGTGGGGGTTGGCAAGGAACTGGTAACGGGACACCAGCATACCAAGCGCGTCACGGTGACAAGCCACAGGTTCTCCCGCTTCATGTGGAAGTACGACGTACTGGACACACATCCACGAAAGCAGCCAATATGGAGTTGTGCGTGTGTGTGTGTGAGAGAGAGAGAGAGCTTGACACAGAGACATGCTTGCGTAAAGGTTGAATGCACATACAACAACACACAGACACACAGACACACAGACACAGACAAACCGCAACGCGGAGAGGAAACAGACCGGCCAATGTTGGTGACTGGCGAGCGAATCTCATGTCGAGAGTGAATCACATGGACGCGGAATGCATCCACCACAGAACGGCTGACAAGGCAACACAAGAGTATTGTGTGAGAGTGTGTGCGACGATGCGCAAAGGAACCAATCGTAGATGCACATCCAATCGAAATGCGCTGCACTTCCCACGACACCCACACGCCCACACGCTTACATACACGCCCACACATGCACGCATACACACCCAAACATGCATGCACCCCCCCCCCCCACACGTACACAGACATACACACGCACAGGTATTGGTCACAGCAGAGAAATCACCACTCGCCGTGGCACACCGTTTGTGGCCACTTTGCATGGTCTTACGTGATGTCATCGCGGTAGATGCGGGAGATGATGCAGTCGCCCTTGTTGTTGTACACAAACACACCACTGATCATGGCTGTCTGTTTTGCCGGTGTTGGTTGGTTGTTGTGGAACAAATTATGCGCTGCTGCTGCAACACCAAGTACCAAACCAGGCCAAAAACACCAAGCTGCCGTGAGTTGTTCGCTACACACCGACAGACAGATGGGCAGACAGATGGGCAGACAGATGGGCAAACAAATGGGCAGATGGGCAGACAGATGGGCAAACAGATGGGCAGATGGGCAGATAGAGCACACACACACACATAGACACACACACACACACACACACACACACACACACACACACACACACACACACACACACAGACACACACACACACACACCTCGCACCGCTTGCTTGCTTCTCTCTTCTTTTGCTCCTTTCCCAGCAGCCAAACGAAAGTGAGTGGCGTCAATTTGTAGGAATGGCACCGCTAATTTTCGCCTGCGCCTGTGTTTTGGTTTGCTCTGTCCTCCTCCACACACACACACACACACACAGCCAAAGCAAACAACAACAGCGAAGCAGGTGTCGCATTCCATGTCTGACTCTGTGCGTGTGTCCGTATGTGTCTGCGCATGTGTCCCTCCCCCACCCCTTTCAATTTCCCATTGTGCGCTCATCGTCTTCCTTTGTGTTGTTGTACCGTGGTTTTTTTGTTGTTTGGCCTTGCGTAGGTTTCGGCCTCAGGCCCACCACATCCAAGAGCGAGACGGTCGGTCCGGTTGGATTTGTCCTCGGGTTGGTTCTCCACCATCGCCATTCATACCCATCACCTTTTCTCATTGCCATTCCTTCAACCAGTCACCACCGCTACCACCACTACCACCAACAAACCAAAGCGCCCGCGTATATTGCGCGCAAATACGCCATCAGCACACATCCTCCCCATCACGACCACAACGCAACCATGAGTGAAGGAGACGCAAGCACGCCGCCAACGACGCCAAAGCAGAAAGGCTCTGGCATGTTCGGCTGGCTGTTTCGGAAACGCAGCAGCCGCTCGTCGCTGGGCGGCGATGCCGAAGAGCCCTCCATCGGAGATGGTGCACAAAAGCAGCAGAAGGAGCCCGCCGAGGACACCAGCAGCACTGACGGCGACAAGGGACCCCAGTCAGACAACGACGCATTCGCGCGCGAGGACGACAGCGCACAGGAGATGGCTGTGAACGGAAAGACGGCAAGTGATGAAGCAGCAAAGCCAGATGCCAACACCACAGACAGCGAGCCAAAGCACAAGGATGTGGAAGAACTCAACACCTCGTCAACAACAGACAACCAAGAAACCAACGGGGCAGAGGCGGCCAAGAGCCCCACCACCTCCACCTCCACGTCCTCGCCGCCCGCCACCCCGTCAACGCCATCCACACCAGCACCGCTACCGGAGAAGGAGACGCCAAAGACGACCCCAAAACCTGCGCCAAAACCGAAACCAAAGCCAGAGGTCAAGGCCAAGCCCCTAGGAGGGTCGACACCGGGCTCAAGCAGCAAACCGCGTCCCATCGTCCAGCCGAAGCCATCTCCATCGTCGTCGGCAGCAACGCCGCCACCCGTGGCTCAGAAGCCGCGCGGGCGTGTTGGCACCATCGCTGCTGTACGTCAACTCATACCTGTGTGTATGTGTGTTGTGTGCGTGTGTTGTGTACGTGTGTTGTGCATGCATGTGTTGTTGTGTGTACGTATGCAGTACATATGCAGGGCGTGCATGTTGCATTTCATGTGCGCACGTTCTCACGCTTCGCCCCCTTGTTCCCGCATGCCGCCGTTTGTTACGCCTTGCACCACGCGTGTCCTCAGGCGCTCGCGGCGCGGCCACCACCCGGACTGTTTCAGCAGCGAACACGATCGGCAACGACATCTATGCCCAAACCGGCGCAGCGCCGCGTGAAGAGCGAATCGTTTATCTTCCGCCCAGAGTCTGGCGCCGTGGAGGAGTCTTTTGACATTGGCCGCACAACCATGCTCAACAACACAGCAGGTTCGCGCGCGCGTGCGTGTGTTATGTGTGTGTGGTATGTGTGTGTGTTATGTGTGTGTTGTGTGTGTGTTATGTGTGAGGTGATGCGCTTGAAGCTCATCGTCGTGGACCTGAGGCGTTACACCGTTTGACAGCTTCATGTGTGCTCACTTTTCCTTTTTCCAAACACAATCGCACAACACAACACAACACAACACACAACACACAGCCAAGGAGCGTGTGCGCCTGTCGTCCCACAGCCAGCGGCCGCGCCGTCGCCCAACGCGCACAGGTCGCAGCGGCACCCGCAGCCAGCCCTCGTCCAAGTCGGGCTCTTTTGTCATCAAGGACGTACGCTCGGCGTCAACTGCGCGCCTGCAGGACGCCCTGCGCGGGTTTGCTGGCGACAGCAGCACGCGGCAGGCGTCATCGGCAGCCATATCTGTTGCCTCGGTGCCGCTTGACGAGGCGGAGGAGGTGGAGGCAGCGCGCGAGCTGCAGGTGGTGCCGGAGGGAGAGGGCGAAGACACGACGGTGAAGGTGGAGGTGAAGGCTGAGGTGAAGGCTGATGGCGAGCCCGAGGGCATCGATGCTGACGGGACGAAGGAGCCGCAAACGTCGGATGAGGAGGAGAACAAGAAGAAGGTGGGGGAGAAGGGTGAAGTGGACGAGGAAGCTAAGCACAATGATGCGGAAGAGGCGGAGGATGGGCAAGAGGCAGAAGAGGCAGAAACAGAGGTACATCAGGAAGATGAGGAAGAAGAAAAGGAGGGTGGTGACATTGAGATTGTTTCTGGGTTTGCGGATTTGCAGACGGAAGAAGCAGACGCCTAAGCCGAGTTGTCACGACGTGTGTGTGTGTGTGTGTGTGTGTGTGTGTGTGTGTGTGTGTGTGTGTGTGCGTGTGTGTCTGCGTGCGAATGTGCACGTGTGTGTGTGTGTGTGTGTGTGTGTGTGCATGTGTGTGTGTGTGTGTGTGTGTGTGTGTGTGTGTGTGTGTGTGTGTGTGTGCCTGCTCAGAGAACTTGTGTTCGTGTGTGTGTTTGTGTGTTTGTGTGTTCGTTGTGTTGCCCTCCCCCCCCCCCACCTTTTTTTTTTTTTTTTGTTTTTGCTTCGGTTCGCACACCACTTGCTTGTGTTGACGCATGTCGCTTCGTCTAATGCCGACTTGTCTGTCGATGAGAGAGGTTATTCATACACACTAACGTAAGAACAAGAACATGGCGACCCTACATCAGTGTCATGTCATGTCACTACAAGTCGGGCCAGCGGCACACATGCAAGAGAGGCAAAGAGACACGAGACGACAAAAATAAGGACGCGTTCAGCCATCAACAGGCAAAAACACGGGGAAGAAGTGTACAGATCAGCGACCGCAACAGAAGGAAAGGAAGGGAGGAAGGGGAGCAATTAGGTCAAAATCGGGAGGGGGGGGATCACAAAGCGTCAGCTGCGCTTCTCTTTGACGGATGTGGGGACTGGATTGACAAAAAAGTCGTGGTGCATGAGCTCTGCCGCCGTTGCGCGGTCTGCGGGCTCATATGCGACCATGGCGCGGATAAACGACAGCATCTGCTGGTCCTCCGGCAGCGACGTGAAGTATTCGTCAAGCCGCTCCGGTCGGTCGCCCACATACCGCACGCTCGACGTGCCCTCTGCAAGCTCCGGCCACCGCAGCAGCCCGTCAGCATCGCCATACCGCTTCCTACAGAGGGTGTGTGTGTGTGTGTGTGTGTGTGTTGCAGGGGTGAGAAAGAAGGGGGATTTGTAAGCTGGGTGGCCACGTGTGACGTGTGTGCATGTGTTGTCTGGGCGCATTGGTGTTGCATGTGTCGATGGCTGTTCAGCAACACACACACACACACACACACACACACACACACACACACACAGACAGGCACCCGACTGGTAACGTACGATGACTCCTTGAGCATGGACGGCGGCAGAGGGCCAAGCAGCGCCTCCATCAGCGCAAGGTGCTCAACGTTGTCGTGTGTCTGATGTGTGGGCAGAGGGGTGCAGGCAGGAAGGGGCATGTGCACGTATGTGCATGTGCGCGCGTGTGTGCGTGAGTGCCTTTTGAGTGTTGTGTGAGATGATACGCGAGCGAGGCAAACACCCACACCCACACGCGCGCGCACACCCACACATATACACACCCACACCCACACACGCACACTGTAAGCAGCAACGAAAACGACAACGGCATGTACCTGAAAGGTGGTTTCGCCCGTGTAGAGCTCGAGCAGCACAAATGCGATGCTCCAGATGTCGCACGGATGCGACCAGCCCGTCTCTGCAAAACATGTGCAGGGCAACAGCGCATTGGCAGAGGGTCATGAGCACAGGAAACAAAGAAAAGAAACCCTCAGTCACCTCCAACCACACAAATACGCATGCACGCTGATGTAGATCCGAACAACGGAGCACGCGAAGCATGGCTCCCTCCCATATCCATATGGGTGTGAGCGTAGGCGTGTATGCTCCGCGTTTGAGCACATGGGAACGTACCAAGGATGACTTCTGGGGCGCGGTAATGCCTTGTGGTGACGACGCGCGTGTGGTAGTCCCAATCAAACGTGGCCGACCCAAAGTCAATCATCTGTGCACGCCATTGTTGGAACAGCGAGTGAGGGGCGAAGCAGACACACACGCACATAGGGCGCAAACGCACGCACACACGCACACAGGCACACACACACACACACACACACACACACACACGCAGAGACGTGAAGCGAAATGTGGGACCTTGATGCGCGGGTTGTCGACGTGCAGCTCGGTTGGTTTGGAGAACAGCTGTTGGTAGGAAGCACGGAACGCAAGTAGTGCAATGTAACCGCAAGGTGAATACACGGACAGGGCCAGCAGTAGAAATGTTGACGCAATCCAATCAAGCGCTTGCTGTTGCCAGGAGAACACGAGCACACACACACACATACATATACACACATCCACATATACACCCACATACACACACGTGCAAACGCAAGAAAGAGACCTCTTTGACGTTGACGGGGCCTTCAAAGAGAATGTTCTCTGGCTTAATGTCCGTGTGTGTGATCATGTTTCGATGCAAGACTACATCAAAATGACACCCATACAAGTCGACGCGTGCGTGAGCGGAGGATATTCAGCACAGCGCAGACGAGGGCAAGCACACAGCATTCAGCGCGAGCATCTGCCTTTCAAAACACAGACACGGACACGGACACGGACACACACAGACACACAGACACATACACACGAGGCATTCAATTACTCCTCTCTGCCCTGCACGGCACGGAAAGCAACCCGGCTTACAAGTGAGGGCGGCAATGCACTGGTGGGAGATGGAGCGCAGAGTCTCCATTGTAAAAGGGATGAAGGAGTGGTCCTTGAGGACATCATAGAGGCTTTGGCCGAGCAGCGGAAACACCATGCACACGTGGCCATCCAGTTCAAAGTAGTTCAGCAGATGGACGCACGGACTGTTCAAAGGGGTTTTCGAGAGCCAGCGTCAGGTTCAGTGGGGCGGTGGGATGATGATGGTCACGGGGGAGGAGGAAGGTAGAGATGATTGGACGGTGGTGGAAGCGGGGGAGGGGAGGGATGTGAAGAAGGGGAAGAAGAAGAAGAAGAAGAGAAGAGGTGGAGGGGCGAAGTTGAAGCGGTGGGGGTGGTGATGACGGGAGGAGGAGGAGGAGGAGTGTGTGTGTGTGTGTGTGTGTGTGTGTGTGTGTGTGTGTGTGTGTGTGTGTGTGTGTGATAGGGGTGGAGGTGAAGAGGCGGTGGTTGTGGTGCGTGCGGAGAAGAAAGAAAGGAAGGAAGGGAAGGGAAGCGGAAAGGGAGCAGCAAGGATAACAGAATGGTGGATGTTGATTCAGGGAAGAGGGAGGATGCGATGAAAAATAAGGCGACAACATGTGTGCGTGGGTGATAGGGGTGGTGTGGGTGCGTGCGGGTGCGTGCGAGTGTCTCGAGTGCTGCTGAGGCATCAGAGTGTCATGGATGCACAGAGAGAAAGCTCAGAAAGGGGGGGGGGGGAAGAGAAGGGGTTGGGGTTGTTTAGACATACTGCTGCTGCTCGCTATCTCGTTTGGAGATGCAGGTCAAGATTTTCCGCTCTTCTTGCGCAGCGGTTCTGCAAACAAAGCCGGTGGTAAGCCAGAGGACAGCATGGGGGAACAAGAGAAGGTGGGAGGTGAGAAGAAAGGAATGACACGGTGGGAAAGGAGTGATGTGTCAGCAAGGGTGGGGAATCATGCCACGATACAAAATATGCTGAAGCTCAGCGTCACAAGCGAGCGCACAATGCCACAGCAAGCATGCCAAGGGGAGAGAGTGTGTGGGTGTACGTGTATGTGTGTGTGCATGGGTGTGTGTATGTATGGGTGCACGTACATGTATTTGGGAATGTTTCGAATAATCTTGACCGCAACCCTGTGACCTCCACTAGTTTGACGTGAACAGCCAAGGTAGAAGCCGAACAACAACAAGACAGGGAAAGGGGATGAGGCAATGACGGCGCGAGCGGGCGCAGCTCACGCGCGCGCACAAAGGGGTAGAAGAACCAGCGTGCGACAGCAACACGCGCTGCATGATCACCACACACACACACACACGCACGCACAAATACACGTTGCACACACAAGACACCCACCCACACCCACACACCCACATGGCGCACCAACCTCGTGCATTCGTACACGCGGCCAAAAGTGCCTTCACCAAGGCGCTTGTCGACAGTGTACGTTGTGTCTGGCGCACGCAATTGGTCTTGTGTGCGCACGCGCATGTGACCATCGTCCTGTGGTCGGCGCTATCACCCACCCAAGCGGCAAAACGAGCAAGCAATACACCGTGTGAACAACAAAACGAGCAAGCAGCAAGACACGTGCACAAACACAACAACATCAGGCGCGAGCAGCTCATGGCTTGATCCAAATGCAGCAAACAGCAGTTGTAAGCATTCCCTCTCTCCCTCTCTCCCTCTTTCACACACACACACACACACCCTTCCTCACACACACCCTCTCTCTCCCTCACACACACACACACCCTCTCACACACACGTGTGTCAACTTCACGCGTGCGCACGAGTGAGCCAGCGAGCTCGCAGTCAGTCGTTCGTACCTTGTGCGAGTGGTCTGGGGAGTGTTTGCGTTTCCTTCCCGTCATGGTGATGCCAGCAAACAACTACAACAGCAACTGCGACGGCGATGACCAAAATAAATCCAGCAGCCTGTGCTCGAACCCCAGCTGATAAATCAACCACGGGTGCCTTCCCGCCGACGTATGCACAGAAAGAGAGAGATAGAGAGAGAGAACAGTGGTGGTGTTGTTGAGTTGAGAGCGCAGCGTGGTGAGTCTGCGACGACGACGATGATGATGCTGCAGCTGCTGATGGTGATGATGGTGTGCTCACGACTTCTCGGCAGCGTGTGGTCGTTCGTTGACACACACCACTCACCTTCTTGCTTCCAGAATAGTTGCTTCGTTTTATTTTCGTGGCGGGCACCTGGGCCCGTCCCATAAGGCTCACCAGCAGGCGTGGAACGCCGCAACGTATCCACCACAGCGTGTGCGCATTAGGGCGGTTTGCGCTGTTGCTTTTCCCAGCTCAGCATTTACCTCTCTCTCTCTTTCTGGCGTGGCTTCTTCGTCTCTGTGGTGAGTTCATGGGTGGCTTGATCTTGTGCTGCAGCTGGTTGGTGGTGCAAGGGTTGAAGATGATGCTGATGGTGGTGGTCGTGGGTGGTGGAGATGAACGTGACCGCAACAGCAGCCAGCCAGCCAGCTTCCCCTTGCAGTGACCTCCACATCATCTTGTGGACCGCCACTGGCGCCTGCACATGAAACATAGACCAGCAACGCAAACAACCAGTACTGCCGCCAAGCGTGCACGTTGCGTGGACAATTTGATTCTGCAAACACAAACAAAACCACCCGCATCAACAGCAACAGCACCCATATCCGCTGCTTCCCGCAAGTGGCCTCACCACAATGCCTTGTTTACATCACACACACACAGACACACGTACGTACACCCGCACACAGGGACTCATTCACATGCATTCACTCACATTTGTGTGTGTTGTCCTGTCTTGTCTCGCTCTTTTGTGGTCATCCTCGTGTTCATTTTGCTTCATCGCCGACCGGATATCAGGTGGCGCGCACGTCTCTTGTCCTTCTTTCTCCTTCTTCCTCCTCCTTCTCCTTCTTCGTTCTCTTTCTTTCCTTCTCTCCCCTACTTGTCTTCGCTTAGCCGTGCTCCGCAGATCCACCCGCGACCTTGCACCGAGCACCGCTGTCAGCCGCCATGGCGTACCTGCGCGTCTGCCTGGCCCTCGTTGTGGCCCTGGCTGTCGCAAACGCAACCACCGTCCTGCACTCCGCAGACGGTGCGTTGCTCTCCACTGTGCTGCACATCACATTGCCTCTGTTTGTTTCCTCTTTCGCTCTTTCACATGGGTTCTGGCGCCCAACACACGGACATACACAGACAGACAGACAGACACACACACACACAAGCACACACGCGCGCGGACATCAACACACCAAACACAATGTACTCATACACCCCCCCCCACAAACACACACACACACTCCTGCACTCACCCGTCCCCCCACAAACACACGGCAGTGGAAGCGCCGTCCATCATCAACACGCGTTCCCTTGAGCGGAATGCCCGTGCCCTGGATGCCCTTGAGCCCGGCGAGGCCCGCCCAGAGTTTGCCATCTCGCCCGAGGTCGTTGTTGGCCCCGTGCGCCAACTCATCTACCCGGGCACACCCGAGTTTGACCAGTTTCTCCCTCCCAACGTGAGCTTCTTCCCACCACCATCACACATGAATACGAGAGCTTAGCGTGCTCAAAGTAGACGTTTCCACACACACAACGACTCGTGTTGCACAACCACATGCACGTACAATCACACGCACACACACGCACACACACACACACACACACACGTGCGCGACATCTATCACACACACTCACACAATCACAATCACACACACACACACAATCACACACACTCACACTTCTCCCCAACCCCCTCTCTTCTTTTTCCTTGTAGGACAATGAGGACATCTTCTTCGTCCAGGAAATTGCCCGGCACATGAGCCCGCGCATGGCGCAGGTGCTGGACATCCTCGCCCAGACTGTGAAGCAGCTCAAGCTTTCCGACGGTACCCCCCTGCGCCTCGCTGTTCGCAACGGTTACGAGGACCCCACGGGCTCCGAGACCTCGCCCGAGCTGTTCCACGAGGGCCGCATGGTGGACCTCGCCCTGTACAACACGGGCAACGGCGACATCATCAACAACGCCGCCGACATGGGCACGCTCGCGGCGCTGGCGTGGAGGGACCGCCTGGACTGGGTGCGCCACTTCCAAATCACCCCACAGAATGCCGCGCAGTTCAGCTTTGTGCGCGTTGCCGTCGTCCCTGAGTCGTGCGGTGCCACCCTCGACTTTGCCTTCCTGCTCGACGGCTCCGGCTCCCTCCTCCAGTCTGGCTGGGACTCGCAGATCCAGTTTGTCAAGGACGTCACTGCCTACTTTGACGTCGGCCGCAACCGCACGCACGTCGGCATTGTCACCTTCCACGGCCCGCGCGTGTCCCACCTCAGCTACAACGAGTCCATCCCGGACTGCCCGCTCGGCACCGTGTGGGAGCCCGATGGCGAGGGCTGCATCTGCGAGGTTGAGGGCTCCCAGTGCACCGGCTCCGCCTGCGGCACGGGCTACTACGAGCTCGAGGCCGGTGGCTGCCAAGGCGCCACAGACCAGAACATCGACACCCTGCCAGACTGCGAGATTCGCCAGTTCTTCCCACACGGCTGCGCTGACTGCACGTGCAACCCGCTCGGCCAGAAGTACCAGCCCAGCGACTCGTACACGGTTGACCAGCTATTCTCCATGACCCAGGACCACGACGACCTCGCCGCCACGCTCGACTCGCTCGTCTTCCCCGACGGCGCCACCCACATGTCGGCCGGGCTCGAGCAGATTCGCGACACCATCTTCCAGCTGCGCAACGGCATGCGCGAGTACGAACAGGCCATCCCGCGCGTCCTCATCGTCCTCACAGACGGCAAGTCCAACCCGGGCTTTGAGCCGCACGAGGTGGCGGAGCAGCTGCGCAACCGCGGCATCATCATCTACGCCATTGGCGTCGGCGACTACTACCTGCCGGAGCTCGAGGCCATGGCCTCGGAGCCCATGGACCGCCACGTCTACGAGCTGGCCGACCCTTCCTCCCTCTTCACCATTGTGGACCGCCTCAGCTTCGACACGTGCGACATCCCGGGCCTGCTCCGTGCTGGCGCGCGCATCGCCCTCAGCCTCAGCGCAAACGAGTTCCGCTATTTCACCATCGAGTGCAACGACAACCCGGACGCGCTCACAGACAAGGTCATTGTCGAGCTCATTGACAGCCCTGACGGCAGCAGGACCCACCTCTTTGTGTCCTCGCGCACCCCAAACCCAACCTCCCTCAACCACGCCCAGTCGCTCGGCCCACTGCCGCCTGCAAAGGTGCTCGTGCACGACCGCACCTTCTCCGACGGCAGCAGCGGCCTCGTCCACGTCGCCGTGCAGGCCGCGGCCGGCAAGGACGTCAGCAACGCCCAGCTTGTCGTGTACCAGCTGCTCTTCACAGACTTCCGCCCCATTGTCAGCGTACCGGAGGACACGTCCCCGGGCACGGAGGTTGTGCCGCCCGCACAGCTGATCGACAGCATCGATGCCGGCATCACCTTCCGCTACTCGCTTGAAGACCCGTATGGCACGTTTGCCATCAACCCGGCGGACGGTTCCATCACCCTGGCCGGCCCCCTCAACCGCGAGGCCCTTGATACGTACGTTGTGCGCCGCTGGGTCGTCGACTCCCCACCCGTCGCCGACCAGTGCCTCCGCAGCTTCCAGTTTGTCACCATCTCCGTCTCCGACGTCAACGACAACGTGCCAGTGTTCAGCCAGTCGCTGTACGAGGTCAACCTGCCCGAAACCCTCCGCGAGCGCCCCGCCCGCCGCCGCCGCGCCGTGGGCACTGTTCTGGTGACCATCTCCGCCACGGACGACGACACGGGCGACAACGCCGAGGTGCGTTACTCCATCACCGGCGGCAACGAGCTCGGCCTGTTTGCCCTCGACGAGGTCACTGGCGACTTCACCCTGGAGAAGCCCGTCGACTTTGAGGAGCTCACCAACCCCGTGCTCGACATTACTGTCGTGGCCACGGACCTTGGCGGCGCCGTGTCTGACCCGGCCACCATCCGCGTCACCGTGCAGGACCGCGACGACCTCCCCGTCTTTGAGTCGGACCAGCTGCCGGAGCTGACCATCTTCGCCGGCGACATTGGCCCCGTCGGCTTTGCCCCCGTCGTCGATGATAGCCGCAAGAACACGTTTGAGTGCCGCCTCACCACCCCTGGCACCCCATTCACCGTCGCCGCCGCCACGAGCGGCGCCACCGGCTGCAACATTGTTGCGCAGTCCTCCACCACGGAGCTCGGCGGGCAGATGTTCACCCTCATGCTGGAGATTGCCGACCAAGTCGGCGTGCTGTCGCGCACCCGCGTCGTCGTCAACGTGCTGCCCACCAACCGCGACCCGCCCGAGTTTGCCATGGACATCTTTGATGTCCTCCTCTCCGTGGCCACGCAGATTGACACCACCGTGGTTGACCTTGGCGTGACAGACCCCGATGGCGACGCCGTGTCCTGCAAGCTCCTCTCCTCCCCCAAGGGCCTCTTCCGCATCGACGACTGCCAGCTCGTGCTGGACTCGCGCCTGCCCACGGATGGCCCCACCTTCTTTGACTTGCTTGTGGAGGCGTCGGATGCGCCCACGCGCGGCAACCGCAACCTCACGTCCACGGCCCACGTCCAGATTACGCTCACGGGCGTGTGCCCGAGCGACGACGCGTCCTGCACGTGCGCGGACGAGGGCGCCACGCCGCCCAACTGCACCCCAGACCTGTGCGAGGCCTTCCCTTGCGTCAACGATGGCGTGTGCTCGCAGGGCGTGAGCAACCAAGGCCTGCCCGAGCGCAAGTGCATGTGCGCCGACTTCTTTGGTGGTGACGACTGCGAGGTGACGCCGTGCGACGACACGCCCTGCATGAACGGCGGCACGTGTAACCCCACCCCCAATGTCGGTCCTGGCTTCTCCTGTGACTGCCCCGTGACCCACGATGGTGACATGTGCGAGAACGAGACGGGCATCACCACGACGACCACAACCACAACCACAACCACCACCACCACCACGCTCAACCCGTGCGATGGTTCGCCCTGCTCTGAGGGCCAGTTTTGCCGCCGCGTCGACGACACCAACTTTGAGTGCGTGGACGGGAGCACCACCACAACCACCACCACGACCACCACCACCTTGTCCACGACCACGGCAGCCACGACCACCACCACGACAACGACGACGACGACGACCACAACCACGACGACATCGCCGCTGGCCACTGTGACGTTCACGGTTCCCGACGATGACGAGATCAACGACTGCTCCCAGTGCCAGAACGGCGGAACGTGTGTGAGGACACCCACTGGCCAGGTGACGTGCGACTGCCCACGCGTGCAGCAGGGCCGCTTCGAGCTGTGCTACGAGAACGCCGACTGCACCTCGCAGCTCCCCTGTGACCAGGTGCCGTTCCCTCGTGGCGATGCCACGGGCTCCAGCACGTCCACGCCTGCCACCCGCCCTGAGGTGCCGTACACGGTTCCGGACAGCGACGTCATCGACGACTGCTCGCAGTGCGAGAACGGCGGGACGTGCGTTGTGACGTCGTCCGGCCAGCTGACGTGCGAGTGCCCGCGCGTGCGCCAGGGCGGTGTTGAGCGCTGCTACGAGGATGCCCGCTGCACCAACCTGAGCCCCTGCGACGAGGTTCCTTTCCCCCGCGGCGACGCCTCTGTCTCCACCACCGCTGCTGCCACCGTCACCTTTACCGTGCCAGACCAGTTTACTGTCTCGGACTGCACTCTGTGCCAGAACGGCGGCGTGTGCGCGTTCACTGCCAGCGGCCAGCAGTTCTGCCAGTGCCCCCGCGTGCCGATTGGGTCAACCGACTTTTGCTACGAGAACTTTGACTGCACGTCGCTGCAGCCGTGCGACCAGGTGGATGGCCCCAACGGCGACCGCTCCGCGTCGACCAACTCGGCCAACAACTCGGCCTCCACAGGCATCATTGTTGGCGCCGTCATTGGCGGCCTCCTCTTCATCATCCTCGTGCTCTTCCTCCTCAGCTTCTGCTGCAACATTGCCCTGTGCGCTTGCCTCGGTGGTGCGGCCTGTTGTGCTGGTGGTGGCACGCCAACGGCACCCATGTACGAGACTGCGGACAACAAGGCCGCCTCCTTTGACAACCCCACGTTTGTGTCGCACTACGCGGCCACGGGCACCGGCGGCGCGGGCGTCAACGGGCCCAACGCGCTGTCCAACCCCTTCTACGCCATGGGCGCCACAGGCAACAAGGGCACCGGTCAGTACGATAGCGTCAACGGCCAGTACGACAGCATCCAGGAGCCGACCTACGACAGCGTCAACGGTGCGTGGCCGCATGCGTCATGGATGGCCGTGTCTTCGTGTGTTGTCGTGTGATGTTGTGTGCGTGCGTGAATGTGAGAATGCGTATGCGTGACTGTGTATGCGTGTACTCTGTTGTTTGTTTTCAACACTGTGCTATTGTGCGATCTTGCGTTCCACCTTTCTCATGTACCAGCGTCTCACAATCCACCTCATCCCTCCTCATCAACTTCTTCTTCTTTTTCCCACACAACCGTCTGTCGACCCCTCCATCCACCAATTTGCACCGCAGACGGCCATGCGTCTCTGCGCAGCAACAACCGCATGCAGGTTGAGCAGGGCCGCATCCGCCTGGCCTCTGTTGCCCGCCACAACCCGCTGACAGCAGAGTCGTCCACGGACGCCGCCGCTTCCCTCGACAACCCTATGTACCAGGTTGGCCAGCAGAACGGCTCCAGCCCCATGTACGCACCCGTTGACGGGCAGCCCTCGTCCATGAGCAACCCCACCTACGAGCGCGCACAAGGCCAGGCACCTTCCAACGTCACATATGCAGCACCAACAGCCTCGGCGGTGAGGAAGTTGTTTGGGGGTGTGGGGGTGTTGGGGTGTTGGGGAATTGGTGCCGGATGGCCCGTCGACCATGTCATGAGCCATGTTGCCGTGTGTTATGTGTTGTGTGTGTCGTGTGATGCGTGATGCGCGCGCGCGTGTGTGTTGTGTGTGTGTTTCTCGGCACGTTGGGTCCCTTTTGGAACATGCGCTTGCTTGTTGCTGGTTGTATTTGACAATTTATGCTCACCACTGGTCGTGACCTGCTCATTATGTGTACAGGAATCTGACATGTACTTTGACGTCGACGCCAGGAACGAGGCTGAGGAAGCTTACACCCAGCACCGCATTGCTGCCACGGTACGTTGTATATCATGACAGTACTTGCCTTTACCTATGTGTGGCTGTGCGTGGTTGCGCACTGATGCCCTCTGTTGTCACTTTTTCCCTGTTGTTTGCGAGTGCCTGTTCCAACTGCAAGCTTCCATTTTGCCTCAGTTCGCCCGCCGCCACTGCTTGCGTTTGCACTTACCTCATCCCCCCTCACCCCCTCCCACCCCGCAACGCTCAACCTCCATACACTGCAGGGTGATGCGTCGTACATTGATGTGCTGCCGCGCTCTGGTGCTGCGCAGAATGCCGCCATGCCCAGCAGCATGAGCAACCCCTCGTATGCCCAGGCTGGCAACAGCATGCCGCAGTACGACAACCCGACACAGGGCGAGCCTGCGTACGATACGGTCCCCATTGACCACGATGCTACTGCTTAAATGGACCCCCCTTCCCTCCCCCTCCCCCTTTTGCCATTCTCGAACCCATCGCCTTTTGTCTCTCTTGTTATCGTGCGTTATGTTGAGTGTGCGTGTGTGGTTTGTCTCGCGTGCTCTTTCTGTGTCGTTGTGTTGCCGTAGCGGTGTGCATGTGTTGTCTTTTTTTTTGTTTGTTTGTTTTGGTCGTAGTGCCAGGAAGAGAGCAAGCTGTGTGGCTTGGATGGTTGCGTCGTTTTTTTGCGACACTTCCATTCCCTTGCCGTATGTTTGTGCTTGTCACTTGCTCTATCCTACAAGAGGCATTCAGCCTATGCTTCTTTTTCTCCCCTCTTTTTCTGCTTTTGCTCCTTGGAATCGATTCTCTTCTCTGCACTTTTCTTCACCCCCCCCCTCTCTCTTTCGTCTTTCAGCCTGCAGACGGAGTTGTTGTTCTTCTCCCTTATCTTCAGTTCTCTCCTATTGCTGTTTGGTTTGCGATGCTACTCGATGCATGCCGCGTTTGGTGTGCTGGTTGGCTGGTGGGTTTTTCATTTCCCTTCCGCCTGTTGTTGTTGCTGTGGCGTGTTTTGTTGCATTGTCGCGTGGAATGCGTTGTTCTCCGCTGGTTGTTCCTCAACATGCTTGCCTGCCTGCTTGTGCTCGCGTGCATGTGTGTCTTTGGGTGCGGCGTTGCCTCGCGCTCCCTGCGCACGTGCGACCCGCCAGTGCAAACTGGGTTGGTTGGTTGGTTCTCCGCCACTCAGCCACACGCATTCATATTCGCGATCACAGTATACTTTCCCCTCGTTCTTCAAGGTCATTGCAAGGAGAGTTGGATTGTTGCGTGTAGATGGACGGGAGGAGGAAGTGGGAGATGGGGGGGGGGCAGGAGGAGGAGGCTGCGCTGATGGTCAACATCATTGGCAGTTGGAGTACGTCAGGCGTCAAACGAGAGGGGCAGTACACCACACGCCAGCGTGTGTGAAGGAGGGGGAGGGGGAAGCAGCTATGCACAGGTTGATGAACAAATGGAGCAACCATTACGTCTCGCGGTGCAGGAACTTTGATTCCTTGGCGATCTTGGTGAGGCTGTGGTGGAACAGGCACCAGAATGCCGGCGTCCACACTGTTGAAATGGCACGAAGACGAACAATGAACACGAATGAAAGCGTGAGCGTCAGGTTTAAGTGTGTATGTGTGTGTGTGTGTGTGTGTGTGTGTGTGTGTGTGTGTGTGTGTGTGTGTGTGTGTGTGCGTGCGCGCGTGCGTGTGTGTGTGTGTGTTCCTTTCAAGCAATGTCATCAAAGGAGTACAAACCGAGTTGTCGCGTGCAAAAGACAATCTGACTTGTCTGCGGCCAACCAGTGTATCTCCCTTTGATAACGATATGTGTGTGTGTGTGTGTGTGTGTGTGTGTGTGTGTGTGTGTGTGTGTGTGTGTGTGTGTGTGTGTGTGTGTGTGTGTGTGTGTGTGTGTGTGTGTGTGTGATGGAGAAAGGGAGGATGGCGTGAAGTAGATCCGGTTGGAGACAAGATGTTTGGAACGTGGAGACGAGGTGCTGCTCAATGTGAAGGGAGGTGAAATCACAAGAAGTGCATTTTTTTTTTCGCTTCCCCTCCCCCCTCTCACTCTCATTCACCGCACACCTGCCATCGTGGACAGGGAGCACGCCACTTCCGACGTATCGTCACCTGATCAAGCTGCACAAGGCCGGCAAGGTGTCCTTCAAGCATGTGGTCACCTTCAACATGGATGAATACTGTGGCCTCCCACGCGACCACCCCGAGTCTTACCACAGCTTCATGGTGAGGCTTACCTGCCTGGGATCGGAAGAGGGGCAAGGGCAAGAGCGCAGCGGGATGGGCTGTTGTTTCGTGCACACTCGCTCGTCTCTTCCGCAGAAGCGACAAACCCTCACACGCACTCACTTGCGTACACGCTCGCACACGCACTCACTTGCGTACACGCTCGCACACGCACCCTAATTTGCATGCGCATGCGTTCATGTATGCA